CTGTTTTATTCCAAAAAGTCAGTTTTTTTTTTTCTCATGCACTGTGTGCTGCAGCATTTGTTTTATATGATGCATACTTGCCACATAGATGTATTCTCTCATAATCACGCACAAACTTACCACTCTCAGCTTACCTGAGTGAGCTGAGATCATGATGTAGTACTGTGGCTTGGACCCTGGCTTCAAAGCTGTTTTCCTGGAGAGAGAGTTCCGGGGGTCAATGCCCCCCTGGCCCGGTCTGCGACCAGGCCTCCTGGTGAATCAGAGCCTGATCAACCAGGCTGTTACTGTTGGCTGCACGCAATCCAACATACGAGCCACAGCCCGGCTGGTCAGGTACTGACTTTAGGTGCTTGTCCAGTGCCTGCTTGAAGACAGCCAGGGGTCTGTTGGTAATCTCCCTTATGTATGCTGGGAGGCAGTTGAACAGTCTCAGGCCCCTGACACTTTCTGTATGTGTTGTCTCTTAACGTGCTAGTGACACCCCTGCTTTTCATAGGAGGGATGTTGCATCGTCTGCCGAGTCTTTTGCTTTCATTGTGAGTGATTTTCGTGTGCAAGTTCGGTACTAGTCCCTCTAGGATTTTCCAGGTGTATATAATCATGTATGTCTCCCGCCTGCATTCCAGGGAGTACAGGTTCAGGAACTTCAAGCGCTTCCAGTAATTGAGGTGTTTTATCTCCGTTAGGCGTGCCGTAAAGGTTCTCTGTACATTTTCTAGGTCAGCAATTTCACCTGCCTTGAAAGGTGCTGTTAGTGTGCAGCAATATTCCAGCCTAGATAGAACAAGTGACCTGAAGAATGTCATCATGGGCTTGGCATCCCTAGTTTTGAAGGTTCTCATTATCCATCCTGTAATTTTTCTAGCAGATGCGATTGATACAATGTTATGGTCCTTGAAGGCGAGATCCTCCAATATGATTACTCCCAGGTCTTTGATGTTGGTTTTTCGCTCTATTTTGTGGAAGGAATTTGTTTTGTACTCTGATGAAGAACTATGGGACGAACCCTCAGAGGGTTAAGCAATCTTGTTTCAAAATATTCCATGTACAAATTACATAGGACAGGTGAGATAGGATTTCCCATTGCCATACCAAGCTTCTGAGTGTAAAACTCATCGTTAAGTTTAGTATGGCAGTGGGAAATCCTCTCACCTGTCCTTAGTAATTTGTACATGGAATATTTTGAAACAAGATTGCTTAACAAAATCCTTCCCAGTAGAGCTAAGTGGTATAGATATGTTGATGTTTTATGTCTAATGCCTAGCTCATTCCATAAATTTTACTGTTGAGTTTGAACAAAATAACTCATTGCCATCATTTAAAATTTAAAGATTACAGAAAGCCAAATAACTTGTATGCACTGTTATTCTTCACATGATGATAGTTAAACTTTCTGTATTCTCATCAATATTTTTGAGAGCTTTGCGTATTTACAACCCAGAGTTTATAAATGAAGAAATTTTGAAAATTTATGAAATAGCTAATGATCTAAAATACCCAAAACACTTAATTGATACTTTAAAAATGCTAGAAATATTTTTTACATTTCATAAAAGGACAGACAACCTTATCAAAAAATATGTTGGTTCTCCCTTACCATGAAAACTTTCTTGATATACCTTCTTTGCTTAAGAATTTTAATATGAAAGTTGTATTTAGAAATCTTGATACAGTAAAAAAAAATTTTTTTGATTAAACATTCTCCAAAATATTCTGAAAGCTGTATCTACAAGACTCCCAGTAAAAAAATGTGATAGTTTATTACGGTCAAACTTGGAAAAAATCTTGAACTAAGAATACAACACAAATATAGCATTAGAAGTGGACAAATCTAATGCTCTGTTTATTCATGTAAGAGATTTTTAAACATCGAATTGACTTTCAAAGGGCTGAGAAAGTTGTATCAAGCAGATCTATGGCTGACAGAAATATAGAACCAAGTTTCATAAAAAATAGTTTTGAAATTAATATGAATATGTTTTGGGTCACCCTGCCTTGGTGGGAGATGGCCGACTTGTTAAAAAAAAAATTGGTTTAGGATTATACAAATCACTCATTTATAATTATAATTAACAATTATAATAAGATGTGTAGATCAAGTGTTTACATTGAAGCATATGTGTGAACAGTATTTAGATAAAGGTAGGGAAATTTTTATTGCATTTATGGATTTAGAAAAGGCATATGATAGTGGATAGAGGAGCAGTGTGGCAGATGTTGCAAGTATATGGAATAGGTGGTAAGTTATTAAATGCTGTAAAGAGCTTTTATGAGGATAGTGAGGCTCAGGTTAGGGTGTGTAGAAGAGAGGGAGACTACTTCCCGGTAAAAGTAGGTCTTAGACAGGGATGTGTAATGTCACCATGGTTGTTTAATATATTTATAGATGGGGTTGTAAAGGAAGTAAATGCTAGGGTGTTCGGGAGAGGGGTGGGATTAAATTTTGGGGAATCAAATTCAAAATGGGAATTGACACAGTTACTTTTTGCTGATGATACTGTGCTTATGGGAGATTCTAAAGAAAAATTGCAAAGGTTAGTGGATGAGCTTGGGAATGTGTGTAAAGGTAGAAAGTTGAAAGTAAACATAGAAAAGAGTAAGGTGATGAGGGTATCAAATGATTTAGATAAAGAAAAATTGGATATCAAATTGGGGAGGAGGAGTATGGAAGAAGTGAATGTTTTCAGATACTTGGGAGTTGACGTGTCGGCGGATGGATTTATGAAGGATGAGGTTAATCATAGAATTGATGAGGAAAAAAGATGAGTGTTGTGTTGAGGTATATGTGGAGTCAAAAAACGTTATCTATGGAGGCAAAGAAGGGAATGTATGAAAGTATAGTAGTACCAACACTCTTATATGGGTGTGAAGCTTGGGTGGTAAATGCAGCAGCGAGGAGACGGTTGGAGGCAGTGGAGATGTCCTGTCTAAGGGCAATGTGTGGTGTAAATATTATGCAGAAAATTCGGAGTGTGGAAATTAGGAAAAGGTGTGGAGTTAATAAAAGTATTAGTCAGAGGGCAGAAGAGGGGTTGTTGAGGTGGTTTGGTCATTTAGAGAGAATGGATCAAAGTAGAATGACATGGAAAGCATATAAATCTATAGGGGAAGGAAGGCGGGGTAGGGGTCGTCCTCGAAGGGTTGGAGAGAGGGGGTAAAGGAGGTTTTGTGGGCGAGGGGCTTGGACTTCCAGCAAGTGTGCGTGAGCGTGTTAGATAGGAGTGAATGGAGACGAATGATACTTGGGACCTGACGATCTGTTGGAGTGTGAGCAGGGTAATATTTAGTAAAGGGATTCAGGGAAACCGGTTATTTTCATATAGTCAGACTTGAGTCCTGGAAATGGGAAGTACAATGCCTGCACTTTAAAGGAGGGGTTTGAGATACTGGCAGTTTGGAGGGGTATGTTGTGTATCTTTATATGTATATGTTTCTAAACTGTTGTATTCTGAGCACCTCTGCAAAAACAGTGATAATGTGTGAGTGTGGTGAAAGTGTTGAATGATGATGAAAGTATTTTCTTTTTGGGGATTTTCTTTCTTTTTTGGGTCACCCTGCCTCGGTGGGAGACGGCCGACTTGTTAAAAAAAAAAAAGATATATTCACAAAGTTAAAATCTTAGTTTGGGTAGAATATAAGATGTGTCTAACATGTCCTTGACCACCTTCCCACATCATTGTAAAGCGTCAGGTGTAATCTCGCCCTTATATCTTACATGTCTTCTGCTGATCTTTTATTTTTACAGTTCCTTGATAATGTGAAAAATCACATTGGTTGTTCTGCATGTATGTATATGTACATTTACAGTGGTACCTTGAGTTAAGAGTTTAATTTGTTCTGTGACCGAGCTCGCAACTCAATTTTCTTGTATATATCAGATCAATTTTCCTCGTTGAAATTAATTGAAATGCCATTAATCTTTTCCAGCGGAATTCCTGGCTCTTGAGAGGCAGGAGAAAATACTTAAATATAACTCTAATATCAACTCTGTGGCTTATTTTCTATCACAGTTGATCTAATATGACATAATAAACAATATAAATAACATAGAAACATTATATATTCTTTAGAATGAATAAAATGTCATGTGATGAGTGGTGGAGGCCACTCCCGGGGTAAAAATAATTATCGCTCTGACCATATCTTCCCATTCTTGTCCTTCTGAGGTCTTATTATAAGAGAAAATGGAGTGCTTGTGAGGCTAACTGCACTAGATCACTAGTTTCATAAAGAAAACACTGAAACAAAAGTGATTTTCTCACGTTTTTCTATGATTTCATACTTTAATTCAATAGACATCATCATCCTTTTCTTCTCAGCACTGTCCTTTGCACTTACTTTCTTAGGACCCATGGTTACAAAAAGAAATTTGGCAAAACTGCACAAAAAGCACAAAATGATGGGATGCTGGGTGGATGTGGCGTTCACTGCACCAACTACTGGTGGCGTATCTGAAGCTCATGATTTTGTCTCGCAACTCAAAGCAAAATATTGACCGAGCGACGGCTCGTAACTCGTAAGTCAAGGTACCACTGCATACACATGTCCAAGGCCTAGGTAGTAGGTTGGTAGACAGCAACCACCCAGGGAAGGTACTACCATCCTACCAAGTGAGTGTGAAATGGAAACCTGTAATTGTTTTACATGATGGTGGGATTATATCTTGCTACTTCTGTGTACACTTAGGTCACACTACCATGCATGTACACATATATTTACACATCCATCTGGGTTTTCTTCTATTTTCATAATAGTTCTTGTTCTTTGTTTCCTTTTATCTCTATGGGAAAGTGAAAAAGAATTCTTCCTCTGTTAAGCCATGTGTCATAAGAGGTAACTATAATGCTGGGAGCAAGGGGCTAATAACCCCTTCTGTATAAATTACTAAATGTAAAAAGAAAGACTTGTTTTTCTTTTTATGTCACCCTGCTTTATTGGGATACAGCCAGTTTGTTAAAAAATAATATACAATTTATATTTATATTTTCTTTCAACAGTGATTTGGATGTATCAAGTGAAGAAGATGGTGAGGAAGATTCTGAGGCAACTTTTGGAGTGAAGAATAGCATGTGTAGTGAAAAAGATGAAGATAAACAAAGTGAAGAGAAGTTCTGTAAAGAAACTACATGAAGATGATTTGTGTACAAGAGAAAAATAGTAAGGGTATTCCTTACAGTAATTGTAGCAGTATTCAGACACTAAGACACATTACTCAGACCGGTTAGGACCAAGAGCTTTCTCTTAACACTGAACTACCATTTATAACAAAGAATATATATAAAATATAATGTATATAAAATGAGAAAAGGACCTGCCATTAAATTAAATGTTGAATTGTTATACTGAATTGGCATTGGCCAAAGCAAGCTAGAATTGTATTTAAATTTTTTTTTACCATTAAGTGCTCTGTATATCCTCCAACCATTTTGATACAGGTGTGGTAGGTGGGCCCATAACCCAGAGATCCACAAATGTGTGAAGCCTGGGTTGTGAATGTTGCAAGGAGACTGGAGGCACTGCATATGTCATGTCTGAGGGTACTGTGTGGTATAAATATTATGCTAAGAATTCATAGCTTGGAGATTAGGTGGTGATGTGGAATTACTAAAAGTATTATCTAGAGGGATGGAAAATGTGTTATAAATTTTCTGCAGTTTTATACGAGACAGAGAATAAGGCAAGAGTTGGGCAGATTGCATTATCTTGGACTGCAGGAAAACAGTACCATACCACAAGAGAGATTAGTCAGAAGGTTAAGAGGAGCAAGCAGGGGTAAAAGGCAGTGCACTCCCATGGGTCAAGGGTCACATTCTGATGAGACATCAGAATGTGAAACAAGCGAGTGAGGTGTCCCAAGAATCAGTACTAGGACCACTATGGTTCGTAATGTATGTGAATGACCAATGAGAGGGGCGAGTCATGCGTCACTATTAAATGGATAATGTAAACCAATTGGGAAGAATAAGAACAAGAGAGAACAATGATAAAGTTCAGAGGCCTTTAAAGACCAGACGTAGTCAGACAAGTGGCTCCTTAGTTAAGCTCGCCTCCAATTTATACGAATTTTAGGTGAGGGCACTGACCAGTGCAGCACAGACAGAAAGAAGCTGCAAATACCAATGCGAGAAAAGGACCTGCAGGTAAGTATAACACCAGGTATATGGCCAGAAATACATGTATAGTTTGTAATGTCAACAGCACATATAAACTTAACTAGCCTTAGAATAGCATTCAGGAACTTCAGTAAAGTATTCTTCAAAACCTTATATTCTGTACTACGTAGGCTAATCATTGAGTAAGCAGTCCCAGCATGGATGTCACCCCTGATGTAGCATGTGAGGAAGTTTGATAAGTCTCAAGGTTTGCAACCAGGCTAGCACTGAACAAAGAAATGCACTATGAGGTGAGGTTGAAGGAACTGAACCTGACTACCCTAGCTAGACGTGATTATGACAAAATCTTAACTCTTTCAGTGGACGTCACATTGAAGTATGTCATTGATGCCAGGGGTCTCGAATTAGATCTACACCTAAATTCTAGCAGCTTCAAATTTGGTGAGAGAGGCCTGCATATGAGAATGGGTTAGTGTGAGCACTATACCAAAATTTGGAGTCCTTGCAGTGCATTGTCGGAACTCCGTATTTAGTACACCTTGTTCACCATACCATGCTGATGAAAAAGCCTCGCTCCCAGGGAAAAATGAATGTTTTGTTCCCCATTGACTGCTCCAACAATGATAATTATGGAACTGATCAATTCTTTGGTCTTGAACACACAATGACAGTGACGCTAAGGGCACCACAATTGTAGATGAGAGGTGATTATTGAATATCCTCTCGTTTGAAGTGGGGTGATTACTTCCTGCTACAAAAAAGATGAAATAGACTGTTATGTCTGCACACACAATAAGGTGCCAAGCAAGGTGCAGGCATGTTTTACGAATAGATATGTAAAGCACTGCTATGTATGGAGAAGTGTTTCAGACTATAACAGCTCTAGGAACATGGCCAATGCTCATATATATGTACATAAGTGTTAGAACAGTAGTAATGTTAAACATGTACCTGTGTGTTTTTAATTGTGAAAGCATGTTTTATAAACAAGGTACTGATGACTATTTGTGCAGGCATTGTGCTGCATACAACAGGAGATATATGTTCCCTGTGCATATAGGTCACAAGGCCCACAAAGTTACTGAAAAATACAATTAGAAAATCCCAGAAAAAAAAAAATAATGAAACGTGAAACGTGGCAAGCACTGATGTTGCCATCAGCAAAGTGGTTAAAGGGAATTGATAATTATTATTATAATCAAAAAGAAGTGCTAAAGGAAATTGATAAGGCAGATTGAATAAGAGGATCAGAGGGATGAAAGTTGAAAGTAGTCCCTAAAGGGGGGTTCCTTGATGCTGGTGAGGGGCTCTATATAGCCCTTGTGGCTTAGCACTTCTTTTTGATTATAATAATAATGGTGAGGGGCTCTTGATCTAGGGAATTGGATCTGTGCTCCAGTTCCCTGAATTGAGCCTGAATATCTTCCATCCCCCCACATGCGCTGTATAACCGTATGGGTTAAGCACTTCCCTGTAATTAAAATAATAATGTTGAAAGACAGATGAGCCACAGTGATATAAGGACATATTTGTCTCAAGGTGATTGAAAAGTTCAATGACTTGGACGAGGCAGTGGTGAGGGCAGACTCTCTACACAGCTTCAGGACAAAAATCAGTGATGCCAATCAAAGTAGTCTAGGAGGCATGACCAAGGAGCCAAGTCTTGACCCCTCCCACCCCCCCCCCTTTTTTTTTAAGGATATAAGACATTACAAATAAAAAAGGAATACTTTATTGCTGTTCTTAGCTTAGACAAAAAAAAAAATGCATTTTAGGCCACATAAAAAAAAGCTGCAGTTGTACCTTCAGCAAGTCTTAATGTTTAACAGCAACAATACGGTTATGTTATGCCATTGGACCCTTGATGCTAAACAGCGACAATTTACAAAATGTACATTAGTTATATGAGGATGAAGAAAAATGAATCTACCTTGTCCAGAATCAAAGTAGACACCAAGAAACTTTGGTGGGAGTGTATTCAAAGTACAAAAAACTATGAACTCACTCCTGATCCTCTTCATATAACAAGGTTCTATCTTCCCTATCCTCATTATTTGTAGTCTGAGATCCTAATAAAAGTGCACAGAATGCACCTAGCAGATGACAGAATGTAGCTTTTATTGAATAATCTGCAAATGTTGCTGAGTATATGTATGAGAAACAAATTATCATCACTGATTAATGTCAAATGACTTGTATAACTATTTCCAAAAATATAACAAATAGTTCAATAACAATTTAATATTTTTACCATACTAATTTTTCAGCATTTATCAGTACAATATATTTCTAGGATGGTTTCTTATATGGCAGTGGGATATTTGAGTAAAATATGGCTGACTATACAGGTATGAGTAGTGACAAAATGAAAAAAATTCAATCCATGATTTATCATTAAAATAATAATCCATGCTGTAATTTTTTTTAGCCCTTTAAAAAATATTACATAAGCTGGGGTATTAGCAAGGAAAAGGGAATAATTTAACAACAGAGTTATTATAAGGTATGAAGTATCAAGATGTAATTAATAGCCCTCCACCCAAGGAATAAGACTTGTCCTCCCCTTGGATCAAACCGTATCACCCCCATTTGCCTGGTGCTGTATGACCCCATAGTGTTCAGCCCATTTTATTCTTAACATGTGCTGATAACAGGAATAAAGTGCATGCATATTTTGGCAGCTACAAACAAGGATAGAGAGAATACAAACTGAAGATAGGATACAGAATGGTATAATAAATGGTTAGTTTAATCCCAGCCAAAGAAAAACTAAGAGACCAAAGGCAGAATACCACTCAGAGGAGTGTTGGAGCTTCTCTTCCTTGGATCAAACATGACTTGCAAAAGAGGTGCCTCAACAATGATGAAAAGATTTTGATTAAAATAATTTGTGCCACCCTCTTTCCTTGAATCAAATCTGATTGCCTCCCATTCCGCAAGTGTGGCATGCAAGATAAGACAGGGCATAGTCTCTTTACCTGATGTTGAATGACCCCATTGTGTTAATAAAAAATATATAAACAATGGGTCATACAGTGCTGCTCTGTTTAAATGGTTTTCATCAGTGATTTAATAATGAGGGCAAAGTTGGACATTAGAATGAAAAAGAGCCACAACGATATCACAAGACACAAGGAGAGAGGGGGACCCAAAATGAACTGATGGCTTCATACAGGGGTTAAAGAATACAATGATACATTAACTATTATGGGGAAGTTGAAAAAGAATAAAAGTTGGAGCATCCATCCCTCTTCCAAACTCTCATCATGACCTTAATAACACTCACTCTTACTTGCAAAATCTGGACTCCCTGTATTTAAATAATATAAAATAAATATATAATATATATATAATTATAGAATATTTAAAAATATAAATATAAAATAATATATATAATATATATATTAAATATAATATATAATATTACTCTTTATAAAATAATATATATATATATAATAATAATAATATATATTAATATTTAATATTATAAATATATATATTATTATAAATAAAGCTATGTTTGGACTACAGTAAGTAATTTAATGCCCTGAAAGATTTAAACAATCCTTTTTTTTTACAACAATAAGTGGGGTGGGGTGAAGAAACTAACATACAATGAACCTTTATGGCTTTTCCATCTCAGTTGATGGGAAGACATGTGCTCAGCATAACCTATAAAACACAATTACATTCATGAAGAGCACTAAACCTGCGGGGAATGGGAGCCACTCAGGTTTGATCCAAGGAAGGGAAAAGGGCAGGTCCAATTCACTGGATCAGGAGCCCCTCATTGGCATCAAGAACCTCCATTGAGGAAACATGGTAGAGCACTACTAATATTAGATGATTAACTGCTTGATCAATTGTTCAGCATTGCCAAAACCCTCAAAAATTAACTGTTTAGTAGTAGTTTTTAGCTTAGTTACCCTGTTTTATATTCTAAAATTAATGATGTAAATATTAAATTTCATCAAAGAAGTATTAAATCTTATGTATATAAAATTTAGCAAATAAAGGTGGGAATGCTCACAAAACTGCAAAATGCATGATAAAATGTTTATAAAAATTCAATTCAGATATGCAAAAAAGGTATGAAAAAGTGATAAGGTTATTTATGAGCTGTCAGATGAAAATTTTGAAATACAAAAATATTCAGTACCTTTTGCAGACTATTCACTGGTAATGGAAGAATTTTACATGACTATTATAAATGCAAAATTAATAACAGGTTATAAGGATCATTACATAAAAATAAAATTTTTGGCATTGCCTTGTATTGTGCAGGGCTCGTGTAGAGTAGGTAGGAACCTTACCCATGCACAGTGACGAGTAAAAATTTATGCAAAATATATAAGAGCACTACTCCTTATAAATGGGTACACACAAAAAAAAAAAAATGAGGTAGGACCTAATAATAATAATTCTCTCCAAAAATATGAAAGTGGAAATAGAAAACTTAAAACAAAATTCAACCATTAATGAATGAACAGGGAGGTCCAAGCCAGCCTCAGATGAGAAAACTCATACAACAAGAAATGTTGTACCCAAAACCTTCCAATGAAGCACCCATGAAAGTAAAAGATATCAGCTTAGGCACAAGCATTTAACATAATCATGTATTCAAAACATTTGATATAATCATTGTGTATTCAAAGTGTATGAGTTCCATATTCACATCAGTTTTACTTAAGAATCACCCAAAAGGATGCTTGCATTAAATAAAACCTTCACCTTTATTAGTAGTCGTTAATTCTGAACTAAATTTTCATGGCGATTTTATGTAGATATAAATTTTCATACAAATGCTTTGACTTCAATCTTGTGCCCACAACAGGAAGTACAAAGATAAATTAAACAGTAAGCTAAAGAACACAAAGCATGAACAATGACTGAGGATAACTCAGACAACCCTGTTTATAGTCACCAACTCAAACTCTGTCTATTAAATCCCCCCTGAACCTAATGCTAATTAATGGGGCATTGCTTTTTTTTTTTTATTACTGTTTACTGGAAATTTTTTGGTAGGGCCAAATTGGTACACCATTTGGATATCATCAACAGTTGATTTAAACCTCTGGTGTAAAGTTTGTCAATAAGTATATGAAAAGATCACTGGGCTCAACTATTCATTAACCCGTAAACGGTCCAAACGTATATATACGTTTTTTCAACATTTGAAAGTATATAAAAAAAGTATATCATTTTTTTTTTTTTTTACATTTGAAAATGTATAAAAAAACTTTGATCTACTTTTTTTTGTTACATTTGAAAATATGTAAAAAAACGTAGATCTACTTTTGTAGCACTACACGTGAACGTAGATCTGCTTGGACCGTTTACGGGTTAAGCAGCTGGTACCACCCAGATCAGACTTCAAGAGTAATCTAATTCTTGGTAAGGAACCAAGACATAAAGAAATATCATTATGTCCAATAATCATAATAAACCTGGACATTTCCTTCGTATCCAAGCTTTAGGTAATTTTACTAAAAGGTCTCAGTTTTAGCAAATGCCTTGCAAAGTACTAGAGCCAAAAATCTAAACAGCATAAAAATAAACACCTAAGTTGAAAGCAGTTTGAGGCTGAAGAATATTTGCTTTCATACTTGCGGAGATTTTTAACTGAAGAGATTATGAAAAAACACGATTCATAAGGAAAATATATAAAGATATTTGAACTTGGTGATCAAAATCTTAACCAACTATAAAATAAAATTGAGACCTTCTAGTATACAACCATCTTCAAGCTGGTTTCCACTGGAAGATCACCAGTTATCAAAATACAAATTGCACATTGGGTTGGTAATCATTTGGTACCTAACTTTCATATATCTGGTTATTACATCAAAATCTGTTGTAGAAATAGAGATGAACATGAACAAAAGGACGGTTTTAAATAATGAGTCAATCATGCAAAATTTTCTGTTAAAGCTGCTACAATATTTACTTAGTATTAAAAAAAATTGACTGACCTCAGTATATCCAAAAGGAAATTGTACATCAGCCTATCAGCCACTGACTTTTACTATCCATTTACTATTCTTTACACTTTTCCCCACTTCCCTTCCCATATTCAAAGTGGGGTGTATGATTTCTTATTTCAGTAGTCTTTAATGGTTATGAGAGAGAAAAAAAATAAACTTATTCTAGAGGTCTTATCTCTCTCTTGAAGCAAGGTCATAGGTCAGATGAAGAACATTTACTAGTTAAAGTATCAACTACTTTTGATGCACTTTCCTCAGTGTGCTTTGCACTGTCTGTTTCATAACCTGTTAATGTGTGGTCACAATCTAAAGATGTATCTAAGCTGGCATTAAGGCTAGTCCAGTCTTCAACGTGTTCTTGTGTTTGGCCGTTATCGGCTGCCGAAAGGAGACTATCAACATCCTCAGGTGAAAGGTGTGGCGTTTCTGCAGAATGGAAGTCATCATCTAATCTAGGATGGTGACTGGAAGAAGCATCAGTTTGGTTACTGTGAAAAGATTCTTGACTTTCCTCTCTTGGTTCTATTTCATCAGTTTCTGATTCAGAACTAAGAGATTTAGTCTCCTCAAATTCATCATCTGGATCATAGTACACCTCAGCTCCAGCAAAAATGTACTTATGACCACCAGTGTACAGGAACATATTATCTGAAATATAAATGATACTAATTAATGACTAGTTAATTAAATGTTACATACAACAGATGAAATATAATCAATATAAAATTTCTACATGAAATAATTCTCAACTATCTCACAATTAAGAGAAAAGTTTTAAAATATATTTCAGTTGTCTAAAAATTTTATCTTCAAGTTATGATCTACAGAAGCTGTAAACTGTTCCAGTCATAGTACTGTGATTAATTCAACTGTTTCTTTTGAGGTATCTTTCATGCTCTAAAGAAATTTTTAAAATTGCTGAAATGCATTTTACTCATGTCAAAATGAATCTTAAGCCCACCTCTATTATATGCAGCTGTACTTTCAATAATACTGTTTTTCTTATTAAAACTGTCTCATTCATCTTCAGTTATTATTTTTCATTCTTCCTATTTGGAGTGGTTGGTGCAATTATTTAATAAATGTATGAAAGAGGGTAAGGTACCTAGGGATTGGCAGAGAGCACGCATAGTTCCTTTGTATAAAGGCAAAGGGGACAAAAGAGAGTGCAAAAATTATAGGGGGATAAGTCTGTTGAGTTATAGGTAGTGGGTTGGTAGACAGCAACCGCCCAGGGAGGTACTACCGTCCTGCCAAGTGAGTGTAAAACGGAAGCCTGTAATTGTTTTACACGATGGTAGGATTGCTGGTGTTTTTTCTGTCTCATAAACATGCAAGGTTTCAGGTACGTCTTGCTACTTCTGCTTACACTTAGGTCACACTACACATACATGTACAAGCATATGTATACACACCCCTCTGGGTTTTCTTCTATTTTCTTACTAGCTCTTGTTCTTGTTTATTTCCTCTTATCTCCATGGGGAAGTGGAACAGAATTCTTCCTCCGTAAGCTATGCGTGTTGTAAGAGGCGACTAAAATGCCAGGAGCAAGGGGCTAGTAACCCCTTCTCCTGTATATATTACTAAATGTGAAAGGAGAAACTTTTGTTTTTCCTTTTGGGCCACCCCGCCTTGGTGGGATACGGCTGGTGTGTTGAAAGAAAGAAAGAAGTCTGTTGAGTATACCTGGTAAAGTGTATGGTAGAGTTATTATTGAAAGAATTAAGAGTAAGATGGAGAATAGGATAGCAGATGAACAAGGAGGCTTTAGGAAAGGTAGGGGATGTGTGGACCAGGTGTTTACAGTGAAACATAAGTGAACAGTATTTAGATAAGGCTAAAGAGGTCTTTGTGGCATTTATGGATTTGGAAAAGGCATATGACAGGGTGGATAGGGAGGCAATGTGGCAGATGTTGCAGGTGTATGGTGTAGGAGGTAGGTTACTGAAAGCAGTGAAGAGTTTTTACGAGGATAGTGAGGCTCAAGTTAGAGTATGTAGGAAAGAGGGAAATTATTTCCCAGTAAAAGTAGGCCTTAGACAAGGATGTGTGATGTCACCGTGGTTGTTTAATATATTTATAGATGGGGTTGTAAGAGAAGTAAATGTGAGGGTCTTGGCAAGAGGCGTGGAGTTAAAAGATAAAGAATCACACAAAGTGGGAGTTGTCACAGTTGCTCATTGCTGATGACACTGTGCTCTTGGGAGATTCTGAAGAGAAGTTGCAGAGATTGGTGGATGAATTTGGTAGGGTGTGCAAAAGAAGAAAATTAAAAGTGAATACAGGAAAGAGTAAGGTAAATGAGGATAACAAAAAGATTAGGTGATGAAAGATTGGATATCAGATTGGAGGGAGAGAGTATGGAGGAGGTGAATGTATTCAGATATTTGGGAGTGGACGTGTCAGCGGATGGGTCTATGAAAGATGAGGTGAATCATAGAATTGATGAGGGTAAAATTGTGAGTGGTGCACTTAGGAGTCTGTGGAGGCAAAGAACTTTGTCCTTGGAGGCAAAGAGGGGAATGTATGAGAGTATAATTTTACCAACGCTCTTATATGGGTGTGAAGCATGGGTGATGAATGTTGCAGCAAGGAGAAGGCTGGAGGCAGTGGAGATGTCATGTCTGAGGGCAATGTGTGGTGTGAATATAATGCAGAGAATTCGTAGTTTGGAAGTTAGGAGGAGGTGCGGGATTACCAAAACTGCTGTCCAGAGGGCTGAGGAAGGGTTGTTGAGGTGGTTCGGACATGTAGAGAGAATGGAGCGAAACAGAGTGACTTCAAGAGTGTATCAGTCTGTAGTGGAAGGAAGGCGGGGTAGGGGTCGGCCTAGGAAAGGTTGGAGGGAGGGGGTAAAGGAGGTTTTGTGTGCGAGGGGCTTGGACTTCCAGCAGGCATGTGTGAGCGTGTTTGATAGGAGTGAATGGAGAAAAATGGTTTTTAACCCCTTCAGGGTCCAAGGCCCAAATCTGAAGTGGTGCCCCAGTGTCCAAGAATTTTCCTCAAAAAAATTTGTTATTTTTTCTTATGAAATGGTAGAGAACCTTTTTGCGAAGGTAATAAAACAAAAAGTACGAAATTTGATGGAAAATTGACGAAATTATGCTCTCGCGAATTTTGATGTGTCAGCGATATTTACGAATCGGCGATTTTGCCAACTTTGACTTCCATTTTAGGCCAATTACATCATTCCAGTCGACCAAATTCTTAGCTATTTTACTAGTATTACTTCTATTCTATCGATTGAGCACAAGAAATCGCCAAGTCAACTGTTTCAACTACAAAATAAAGTGATCAGAAATTGGTAATTTGGCCAATTTAACACAAAGTTCAAAATATTCCAATTTCAAAATAGCATCCAGAATAAACAATGTAGGCATTCCTGGCACTAAACTAACATTTCCTCGGTTCATTAGTTATGTTTTGAGGCTTTACAAATAAATCCCATTTTTATTTTTATTTACATAATGAATTTTTATTCACACCAAAAAATAGAAGATTTACTGTTATGCAATATTGTAATAATTGTATAAATATCATCACCACATTTGTGAATGTGTATTAGATCCACCAGCTGGCGTGTATTAGACGTGTGAGGTCGTTTGTTTACTCTTGAACATCGACAAAAATTTAACATTTCCGCTACTTTGAGCTCAGTTTCAAGCCATTTCCAGTGCTAAAACCAATCAAAATCATCTCTATTTCTGTAATATGTCTTCCATTCTATCAAATGAGACCAAGAAATTGCAAATACAACTATAAAAAACATACGAAAAAACACTGCAAAGTTGCTGTTTTAATCGAAAATCTTGGTTTCAGTTTTTTTTCTCTCATTATACACAGTGTGCTGCAGGATTTGTTTTATGTGGTGCACACATACCACATAGATGTATTCTCTCATATCTAGGCCCAAGTGTACCACTCACAGTTTATCAGATTGAGCTGAGCTCATGACGTAGATCTACGGTTTGGACACTGAACGCAAAGCCGTAGATCTACGGGACAGACCCTGAAAGGGTTAATACTTGACGTGCTGTTGGAGTGTGAGCAAAGTAACATTTATGAAGGGGTTCAGGGAAACCGGCAGGCCGGACTTGAGTCCTGGAGATGGGAAGCACAGTGCCTGCACTCTGAAGGAGGGGTGTTAATGTTGCAGTTTAAAAACTGTAGTGTAAAGCACCCTTCTGACAAGACAGTGATGGAGTGAATGATGGTGAAAGTTTTTCTTTTTCGGGCCACCCTGCCTTGGTGGGAATCGGCCAGTGTGATAATTAAAAAAAAATATTATTATTATCTTTACTAATTTATGCTGTCCATTATTCATTACATCTTCCATAAATTCGATAATGCCATGTTACATTGACCTCTGAGTTTCTTGTTCTATCTACAAGGTTAAACAAAATGGCAATTACCCACTAAGGGAACAACATATAGTAGACTGTCAATTAACCCTTTGACTGTTTTGGTCCTATATATATGTCTTACGAGCCAGTGTTTCAGACGTATTAATACGCATAAATTCTAGCGGCTTCAAATCAAGCAGGAGAATGCTGGTAGGCCCACATATGAGAGAATGGGTCTGTGTGGTCAGTGTGCACCATATAAAAAAATCCTGCAGCATGCAGTGCACAATGAGAAAAAAAAAAACGACCGTTTTTGGGATTAAAACGTCGACTTTGAGGTGTACTTTCGTATAGTATTTATCATTGTATTCCCGTTTTCATGGTCTCACGTGATAAAATGGAAAACGTATTACAGAAATAGAGATGACTTTGATTAGTTTCACGATGAAAACAACCTTGAGATTGAGCTCAAAGTAGCGGAAATGTTTGATTTTTACCAATGTTCAGGAGTAAGCAAATCACACCACACGTCCAATACACGTCAACTGGGGAGTCTAATATTCTTTCACTAGTGCACTGATATTATTTATACCATTTTTACAATAATGCAGTAGTCTGCATAACAGTAAATTTTGTATTTTTTGTATGAATAAAAAATCAAAATAGAAAGCAACAGTAATGTAAGAGGGGCCTAGAGACATGACTAATGAACAGATGATATGTTATTTTAGTGCCAAGAATGTCTACATTGTTTATTCTGGACCCTATTTTGAAATTGGCATCTTTTTTAATTTCCGTGAAATTGGCCAAATTGCCAATTTCTGACCACTTTATTGGGTAGTTCAAATCGGTGAATGGGCAGTTTCTTGTACTCAACTGATAGAAAAAATGGAGTTCTAAAGAAATAGCTATGAGTTTGGTCAACTGGAACAACGGAATTGGCCAAAAACAGGGCTCAAAGTCGGCAAAATCGCCGATGCTTATATGTCGCCGTGACCGCTAACTTCGCGGGAGTGTAATTCCTTGAGTTTTCAACCAAATTTCGTACTTTTGGTGTCATTACCATCAGGAAAAGATTATCATTTCATAAGAAAAAAAAAAATTTTTTCCCAAAAAATTTTGCAACAGAATGACAGTTTCAGAAAGGGGCTTGCGACAGTCAAAGGGTTAAGATTCAATCTTCTATGTTTTTGGTATGTGGCTGCAAAATTGTGGCATTTTTTTGATCATAACTGTGAAATTTATAAGAACATAAGAAAGGAGGAACACTGCAGCAGATCTGTTGGCCCATACTAGGCAGGTCCTTTACAATCCCACTAACAAAACATTTACCCAACCAAATTTTCAAATCTACCCAAGAAATAAGCTCTGATAACTCTATCCACCCATATGCAAGTCCCACTCAAATCCAACCCCTCTCACTCATGCATCTATCCAACCTAAATTTGAAACTACCCAAGGTCTTAGCCTCAATAATCCAACTAGGTTATGAGGCTATGATGGTGCAACTTTATTTTTTCCTTTGGTTACTGCAGACAGCTATTGTGTGTACAGTTCGTGTCTAGGCTTCGCCTAGAACTATGCACTGTGATTTTTTTATAGCACTGTGTGAGAGAATCATTGAGCTTTTCCTGTAGGTGGCCGCTACCTACCTTTGTGTTTGGCACTGTTGCTGCCAGCTGTCATTCACCTTAGCTGCCCCTGTGTTGCTTTGTGTTCCTGCTCTACAGCCCTATACTACCCTGTTAAAGCCCTAAATTCTTCCTTCAAGCAGTTGATGCAGGGAGTGGGTGCAAATACCAAATCTGATCAGCCCCTGTGGCCCATGTCTAATTGTTTACTGTAATAACTGTTGCTTAATGCCCTTCTCTTCCAGACTTATTATTTTTGTATTCATGTGATAATTCATTAGTTTTCATGAAGTGTTCAATACCCTTAAGTAATTATGGACCTGACTAATTATCTTTAGATCCTTATTAATTCCTTTCATGAACTCTGTCCTGACAGATCATAGCCAGTGTGCACAGGAGGATACCTTCCATTAACTTTACTTTTGTACATATTTTTTCATCTAGAATTCATGGAACAGCTCACCACTCAATGATTCATAGAATCAAAGAATTCACTGTCAATTACTGATTCACAGAATTATTTGATTGTGCCTTAAGCTGTATTGTTTAACTTGCTCTGTGCTAAATTTGAGTCTGCAGTCCACATTTATTGTATAGCAATGCTATTCCTGTGCAAGGTGAGATCATGTTAGTCAGTGCTCACCTGGCAAATGTGAGGGGAAGGGATCTTAAGGAATCTCAACACAGTCACTTCAGATAATATACATGTATAGGAGAGGCCTGGGGACATCATTCATGAACAGAGGAAACATTGTTTTAGTGACTGGAATGCCTACAGCGTTTATTTTACTGTTTAAATTTTGTGTAAAATGGGCCAAATTACTGACTTCTCTGCACATTGTAAGGTAGTTCTGAGAGTTGAATGGGCAGTTTCTCGTGCTTAATCAACAGAACAGAAGAAAAAAAGGAAGGAATTAGGTCAAACTGGCTTAAAATAACTCAGAGTGGGTGAAACTGTAGATGAGTAAATTAACCCTTTGACTGTTGTAAGCCTCTTTCTGAAACTGTCATTCTATGTCACAAAATTTTTGGAAAAAAAAACAAAAAAAATTATTTTTTTCTTATGAAATGACAGAGAATCTTTTTCCATTGGTAATGACACCAAAAGTACGAAATTTGGTTGAAAACTCTCAGAATTACGCTCCTGTGAAGTTAGTGGTCTCGGCGACATATAAGCATCGGCGATTTCGCCGAATTCGACCCCTGTTTTTGGCCAATTCCGTTGTTCCAGTTGACCAAACTTGTAGCTATTTCTTTAGAACTCCATTTTTTCTATCAGTTGAGTACAAGAAACTGCCCATTTACCGACTGGAACTACCCAATAAAGTGGTCAGAAATTGGCAATTTGGCCAATTTCACACAAATTAAAAAAAGATGCCAATTTCAAAATAGGGTCCAGAATAAACAATGTAGACATTCTTGGCACTAAAATAGCATATCCTCTGTTCATCAGTCATGTCTCTAGGCCCCTCTTATATTACTATTGCTTTCTATTTTGATATTTTATTCATACAAAAAATAGAAGATTTACCGTTATGCAGACTACTGCATTATTGTAAAAATGGTATAAATAATATCAGTGCACTAGTGAAAGAATATTAGACTCCCCAGTTGACGTGTATTGGATGTGTGGTGTGATTTGCTTACTCCTGAACATCGGTAAAAGTCGAACATTTCCGCTACTTTGAGCTCAATTTCAAGGTCGTTTTCATCGTGAAACTATCAAAATCATCTCTATTTCTGTAATACGTTTTCCATGTTATCACGTGAAACCATGAAAACGAGAATACAACGATAAATACTACATGAAAATACACCTCAAAGTCAGCGTTTTAATCCAAAAAAAAAAAGGTCAGTTTTTTTCTCATTATGCACTGCATGCTGCAGGATTTTTTTTTATGTGGTGCACACTGACCACACAGACCCATTCTCTCACATATGGGCCTACCACCTTTCTCCTGCTTAATTTGAAGCCGCTAGAATTTATGCGTATTAATACTGTACGTCCAAAACACTGGCTCATAAGACGTATATATATATATTTTTTTTTCAACAAGTCGGCCGTCTCCCACCGAGGCAGGGTGACCCAAAAAAGAAAGAAAATCCCCAAAAAGAAAATACTTTCATCATCATTCAACACTTTCACCACACTCACACATTATCACTGCTTTTGCAGAGGTGCTCAGAATACAACAGTTTAGAAGCATATACGTATAAAGATACACAACATATCCCTCCAAACTGCCAATATCCCAAACCCCTCCTTTAAAGTGCAGGCATTGTACTTCCCATTTCCAGGACTCAAGTCAGACTATATGAAAATAACCGGTTTCCCTGAATCCCTTTACTAAATATTACCCTGCTCACACTCCAACAGATCGTCAGGTCCCAAGTATCATTCGTCTCTATTCACTCCTATCTAACACGCTCATGCACGCTTGCTGGAAGTCCAAGCCCCTCGCCCACAAAACCTCCTTTACCCCCTCTTTCCAACCCCTTCGAGGATGACCCCTACCCCTCCTTCCTTCCCCTATAGATTTATATGCTTTCCATGTCATTCTACTTTGATCCATTCTCTCTAAATGACCAAACCACCTCAACAACCCCTCTTCTGCCCTCTGAGTAATGCTTTTATTAACTCCACACCTTCTCCTAATTTCCACACTCCGAATTTTCTGCATAATATTTACACCACACATTGCCCTTAGACAGGACATCTCCACTGCCTCCAACCGTCTCCTCGCTGCTGCATTTACCACCCAAGCTTCACATCCATATAAGAGTGTTGGTACTACTATACTTTCATACATTCCCTTCTTTGCCTCCATAGATAACGTTTTTTGACTCCACATGTACCTCAACGCACCACTCACCTTTTTTCCCTCATCAATTCTATGATTAACCTCATCCTTCATAAATCCATCCGCCAACACGTCAAAAACAGTCAAAAGTCAAAGGGTTAAGCAAGACCACTAAATTTACATCTGCGTAATTCCGTAAGTTTTCTATCAAATTTTGCTTTTCTGATGTCATTATTTTAAAAGATTCTCTACCATTTCAGATAATTTTTGTTTAATCGTGTCACTGTCAGCACTTAACTTTGGGGTCACAAAAGTGAAAGGATTCAGTCTGGGATAAGCCACAATTTTTTTCTATTTATCCAACACTGTACTGTGATTCAAAAAGCAATCTGAAATGTTTCTGGCTGTTGACTGTTGTTCACATGCTTATGGCAGTGTTTTATATCACTAGTATGTAAGGTTAGAGCATACAGTACTATACAGTGATAACAAATAAAAATTGGTAAAATAAAGACATTTTTGACATCCCTCACCTGAAGAAATTGCAGGTGCTAAAAAAAGTTTACAACAAATTACAAATCAACTATGCTGATGTTTTCTTTAACAATATTATGTGCAAAATAATTCTGAATACAAAATTTTATTCAGATATTAGTGATAGTTTTGAAGCTTATAATTTTCGTTAATTATTTTTGTTTATCTTCAATATGTTTGATTTTCAAAATCTTTGCATGTTTTGATACGAGAAACAAATACAATCCCCACTATGTATCTGGAAAGATTTTCAATCAAGAAAAAATAAAAAGTGCATATGTATTTCCTTTCTCTCCAGGGAAAGAATAGATTTTTGAAAACTACTCTTTATATTTAATTTTTCTAAAGTGTTCACCATTATTTGACAAGCAAAATTACACCACAAAATAAATCTCACCTGGTAATCTTGAGGCAACAGTCTCCCGAATTTTAGGGGCCCAACAAGCTCTGAGTGCTTCAATATCACTCTCATCACGAGGATGTGGAGCATTCTGAGGGGCCACTAGCGATGATCCAGGAAAAGAATTGGTATCCTCTCCATCAGCACTACTTATATTTACACTGGTTGATGGAAGGGGTCTGGGCGGCAATTCACTTATTTCAGTCATACTTTCTTCCGTACAAAGGTCTTTCCAACCGTTTCCTAATCTGCAAAAGAAAAAAATAAGAATAATTCTGAAACTTTTTTCACAATTTTTTTCATCTCAACAGCTACTCCCGTCAGGGCAGGGTGATCCAAAGAAGATGCATTCACATCATTCTTTTAAATGCAGTCATTGCTAGAAGTGTGCTGACATCACAGTTCAGATTACCCTCCAACTGCAACATCCCCACCCCTCCTTCAGAGTGAAGGCACTCCCTTTCCCATCTCAGGCACTCAAGTCCGACTAACTGGTTTCTCTACAGTATCCCTTCAAAAAAGTTACCTTGCTCACTTTGCAACATGTCCATTAAAAACTTGTCTCCATTCACTCCAAACATGCTCACACAAGCCTGCTGGATGTTCAAGTCCCTAAAACTTAAGCCTCTATTACCCCCTCCCTCCATACTGTTCCTGCCCTCCTCCCCAGATTTATACACCCTCTTCATCCTCTATATGACCAAACTACCTCAACAATCCCTCCTTGGCCCTCTGAATTATACTCTAGGTGACCCAACATCACTTTTTAATTTCTGCACTCTAAGACTAATACTGTGACATTATTTGAAGACAATCATGATAGTGTACAAATTTAATAATATCAACTATCCCCCCCAAAAAATATTGTGGAGTTTTCACTGGGGAAAGGGAAAGGGGGGAGGTGTCATACAGTGAAGCCTCTGCAGCCTACTGCAGAGGTTTCACTGTATGACACTGGGAACTGGAACATAATTAAAATGCAATTAAACTAATCAATAGAGTGAAAGATGAATGTAAGGGATCTAGGAGCAATTATACAGGAAACTCTTTCATTCACAAATACAATAATGCTATTACCACCATATGAAAAATGGTTAACTGGATAACGTGAATCCTCATGAACTATCAAGCCAATAATATTACTCTTTAGAGAATGTGTAATCACAAGACTGGAATACCAGTAATACTGTACACTAACTCACCCATTTACAGCAGGAATTGCAGATCTGTAGATTGTACAAACATCTTCCAACACCCTTATCAATTCGAAAAAAGTACCTAAATTATTGGGAGTGTCTTTGATATCTTAAACTTATTCACAGTTCCAGCCTCCCTCCACCAAAGAATATAACATATTTATGCGCGAGGCATTATGTAGAATGAAAGGGGGTTAAGCAGCTGGAACTAACGGGATCATGACAGAAATGTTAAAAGCAGGGGATATATAGTGTTGGAGTGGTTGGTCTTCTTTCTTTCAACACACCTGCCGTATCCCACAAAGGGAGGGTGGCCCAAAACGAAATTTAGTAATTTATACGGGAGAAGGGGTTACTAGCTCCTTGCTCCCGGCATTTTAGTCGCCTCTTACAACACGCATGGCTTACGGAGGAAGAATTCTGTTCCACTTCCCCATGGAGATAAGAGGAAATAAACAAGAATAAGAACTAGAAAGAAAATAGAAGAATACCTAGAGGGGTGTGTATATATATGCTTGTACATGTATGTGTAGTGTGACCTAAGTGTAAGTAGAAGTAACAAGACATACCTGAAATCTTGCATGTTTATGAGACAGACAAAAGACACCAGCAATCCTATCATCATGAAAAACAACTACAGGTTTTCGTTGTACACTCACTTGGCAGGACAGTAGTACCTCCCTGGGCGGTTGCTGTTTACCAATCTACTACCTAGGTGGAGTGGTTGGTATTTTTGTTTAATAAATGTATGAAAGAGGGGAAGGTACCTAGTGATTGGCAGAGAACATGTATAGTTCTTTTATATGAAGGAAAACGGGACAAAAGAGATTGTAAAAATTATAGAAGTTTACTGAGTATACCAGGTAAAGTGTATGGTAAGACAGAGAGCAGGATTGCAGATGAACAAGGAGGCTTGAGAATGGGTAGGGGATGTGTAGATCAAGTGTTTACATTGAAGCATATATGGGAACATTATTTAGATAAAAATAGGGAAGTTTTCATTGCATTATTGGATTTAGAAAAGGCATATGATAGAGCAGATAGGGGAACAATGTGGCAGAGGTTGCAAGTGTAAGGAATAGGTAATAAGTTACTAAACGCTGTAAAGAGTTTTTACGAGGATAGTGAGGCACAGGTTAGGGTGTGTAGGAGAGAGGGAGATTACTTCCCAGTAAAAGTAGGTCTTAGTAAAGTAAGTAAGTAAAGTTTATTTCTTTGTAAAGGTTACAATGTGTAATTACAATTTTGATTTGCTAAGTACAAAGATAGCCACTATCATGCCGAGGCATTTCGGGCAAACTAATCCTAATACATAGTAATTAATTAAAACTAGATAAGATAATAGTACATAGTACTATACTTAAAACTAGACAAGGAAGAGTGGCTAGCTTTTTTACAATCTTATTTAAACTTAATAAAATCTCATTTGAACCTAGTACAAGTGAGTAGGGTTCGGTAAAATAAGCTTGAAATTGCACACAAAATCTACCTTACAAGTAATGGTGCAGGTGGTAATATTTTATGGAATGGCAAAGTTAAAAGCCAGGTCACATGATAAGACTAATTAGCAGATGTTTTGGCAGATTTGGTTAATATTGAGAAATAAGATGATTTTATGGATTGGCAGAATTGAGAGCCTAGAGGTCACATAATAAAACTAGTTAGTAGAAGTTTGGTTGATATGGTTAATATTGTGAGATAAGATGATTTTTTAGCAAAGTCCTAAATTTATAAGCTGTCAGGGGATCCTTGACCTGTTCCGGTAACGAGTTCCAGATCTTCGGGCCTTTTATGTGCATAGCATCCTTGCATAGTGAGAAACCATACCACGGGCGGGGATAGAACCCACGATCAGAGTCTCAAAACTCCAGACTGTCGTGTTAGACGGTCTGGAGTTTTGAGACTCTCTGATCGTGGGTTCTATCCCCGCCTGTGGTATGGTTTGTTTGCAATCGTGTCATTATGATTTCGTGAGTCTTGCATTGTGAGAGTCTGACTCGAGGGATGTTGAAAAGTGCCTTATACTCAGTAATGTCACCATGGTTGTTTAACATATTTATAGATGTGGTTGTAAAAGAAGTAAATGCTAGGGTGTTGGGGAGGGGTGGGATTAATTATGCTGATTCAAATACAAAATGGAAGTTGACAGTTACTTTTTGCTGATGATATTGAGTTTTGGAGATTCTGTAGAGAAGTTGCAAAGGTTAGTGATTGAGTTTGGATGGGTGTGTAAAGGAAGAAAGTTGAAATGGACATAGACAAGAGTAAGGTGATGAGGGTATCAAACAATTCAGATAAGGAAAAATTAGATATCAAACAGGAGGAAGGGAGTGTGGAAGAAGTGAATGTGTTCAGATATTTGGGAGTAGACTTGTTGGCAGGGGGGTTAATGAAGGAAGAGGTAAACCATAGAATTGCTGAAGAAAAAAAAGGTGCTAGTGCACTCAGGTATCTGTGGAGACAAAAAACATTATCCATGAAGGCAAAGAAGGGAATGTACGAGAGTATAGTACCAATAATCTTTTGAGTGTGAAGGAGGAGGTTGGAAGCAGTGATGTTGTGTCTAAGGGGAATGTGTGGCATAAATCCTAAGTAGAGAATTTGTAGTGCGGAAATTAGGTAGTGTGGAGTTACTAAAAGCATTATCATCCTAGGAGAGGATGAAAGGAGGGGTTAAGAGGTTTTTGTGTGCAAGGGGCATGGACATACAGCAGGCACTTGTGAATGTATTTGAAAGGAGTGGAGACGAATGGTTTTTGGGACTTGAAAAGCTGTTGGAGTGTGAGCAGGGTAATATTTTGTGAAGAGATTCAAGGAAGACAGACTTGAGTCCTGGAGATGGGAACTACAGTGCCTACACTTTAAAAAAGAGGTTTGGGATATTTGCTGTTTGGAGTGACATCTGAACTGTCATATCCACATGCCTCTGCAAAGACAGTGACTGTATGTGAAAATGTTTCTTTTTTTTTTAGGGTCACCCTACCTCTGTGGGAGATGGCCAGTGTTAAAAAAAAAATTATTACTACTAAAATATTTTTATGTAGCAGTTATTATAATTAATTTTATACTGTTAACATTACAAAAGTGCACAAACCTGTGACAAAGCTCATTTATTATCACATCACAGTCTCCAAGAAGTTCAACATCAAAGGTAAGGTGTCGTAGGGGTTCACGATTAATCAATATCTGAGGCACATGTGAAGGAACTGAACCTGAAACAAATCAACAATAAAGATTTGAAGAGGCATTAGAAATACGAAAGTTATTCTACTCTATTCAAATTCAAATTAATAGATTATTTTGTTTATTAATATGATGCTCATATTAATTTTATGCACAAACTGTATAAATAACTGATAATAAACTACTGTGTGAGTAAGTGCCTACTACTGTATGATAAGTGCTTTCATAACTTACTAGGGATTAAAGCCACGGGGCGAACTTTTAGAGAAGATCCAATGACGATTAGCAAATCACATTCATCTTTATCTTCTGCCATTTTGTCATGAAATTCGTCAGGTAAACCTTCTCCAAAGAACACTATATCTGGTTTCATAATTGGCTTTGGAGGTAACTGGAGGGAATCTGAAATGTTAGTGAAACTAAAGTAGTTTTCACACTCTTCATAAACAGATAGTTATTATGTACCACAACATTAAAATTCAGCCAAAAAAAACAAATATATAAAAGAATAATGTTTACCACAACATTAAAATTCAGCCAAAAAAAACAAATATATAAAAGAATAAT